GACTGGAGAGGCAGTTAGCCAAACGGGCTTGTAACGTCATGGCAAGCATCGAGGCAGTACACGTTGTACGTTCAAGCCCCAGTTTTACAGCGCCTTGGAAGCTGCTCGTAACAGGCGAGCTGTCATGCCAGGCAAAGGGGCAGTCCACGTTGGTACGGACACAAGCTTGACGGCGCTTTGGAACATTTGCTTGTAAGACTGTTGTTGTTTTGACTTTTTCTCCGAAAATAAAAAAATTAAAAAAGAAGAAAAAGGTGTAAACGTGTGTGTGTGTGTGTGTGTGTGTTCTTCGCATTTTTCTCGTTCTTTGGCTTTTGGCATTTGCCTTTGACTTCTTCATCTTCTTCCCCTCTTTGGCATCGGTCTCGATCTCGATATCAGCTGACTTGACGTGTCTTGCTTTGTGTGTGCGTGGTGACTGATTGCTTGTGCTTGGTACGCTTTCCTGGTTGGGGCCTTGGGGCGACGCCAGATCGTTTTGGTTGAAAGCACTGCTGCCATTTTTTTGCTTTCAGTGAGGCCACTGATCTCGCCTCGCAGGCGTCAACGTGCGCTTGGGCAACCAAGTACCCTGTCCTTGCAACCATCATCGAGAACTACTGGACAAAGGTGAGTTATTTGTTGCATCAGGCAGAGAAGAGCAAAGAGCCCGCTGACCGGCTGCCGTTTTGGAAACGGCGCGCACCTGTTGGATCCCAGTCCGAATTCTGGGTTGTCAGACGAGTTGTACTTGGAGGGGGCTCATGAAATTGAGAAGCATGCAAAGCGGTTTGAAGCGGATGGTGAATAGAGAGAGATACCGTTACCATGAGTGCTGATGGAGAGCAGCTGTACAGTGCGTGTGAGTCATCAGATCCACAAAAGGCGCTGCAGCTGGTGAGCAGTTGGAACCAACAACGTATACGAGATGCTGCTCAATACAAAGATGATGGTTGGGTACGTATGCTGTTTGGTATGATGTTGTGTGATATTGGTTACACTTTGAATATGTCACTGGATGGGGTGACGTTATGGTATAACATGGGACATATACTGCATGTTTGCATCATCCCACAGCTTGGCTATACACCACTGCACAATGCCTGCGGTAAGGGTCATGTCAAGGTGGTGGAGATGCTGTTGAAGCACGGTGCTGATGCTAAAGCCAAGGACATCGTCAGTACAGTACCTCCCTCTTCCCCCCTTTACCCCCCTCTATGATGATGCACCTGTACCCCATGATGATGATGATGCTGTACCTGTACGTCATGCTGATGCATCATCCCACAGGGTGACCATACACCACTGCACTGGGCCTGCGAAAAGGGTCATGTCAAGGTGGTGGAGATGCTGTTGAAGCACGGTGCTAATGCTAAAGCCAAGGCCGACGTCAGTACAGTACCTCCCTCTTCCCCCCTTTACCCCTCTATGATGGTGCACCCGTACCCCATGATGATGTTGATGCTGTACCTGTACGTCATGCTGATGCATCATCCCACAGGGTGGCGGTACACCACTGCACTATGCCTGCGGTAAGGGTCATGTCAAGGTGGTGGAGATGCTGTTGAAGCACGGTGCTGATGCTAAAGCCAAGGACAACGTCAGTACAGTACCTCCCTCTTCCCCCCTTTACCCCCCTCTATGATGATGCACCTGTACCCCATGATGATGATGATGCTGTACCTGTACGTCATGCTGATGCATCATCCCACAGTTTGGCTGGACACCACTGCACAGGGCCTGCCGTAACGGTTATGACAAGGTGGTGGAGATGCTGTTGAAGCACGGTGCTGATGCTAAAGCCAAGAACAACGTCAGTACAGTACCTCCCTCTTCCCCCCCTTGACCCCTCTGACTGCTGCTCCTGCTCCCGCTGCCCCGTCGCCTTTGCCCCCGTCCCTCCTCTCCGCTACACCCTGCCCATCCGTGCGCGCCCGTTCTCCCCCCCTGGCTCCTTTTCTTCTTTCCCGCTATCCCTCTTCTTTCCCCGTTTTGCGTCTGCCCTTTGCCGGTGCTCCCCGCGCCCCGCCCTGCTCCCGCTGGTCTCTTCCGCCTGCCGTTTTCGCTCTCCCCTTTTTCTGATCCATCCCCAGCCCCTTGCCATCACGCTTCTGCCTCCCTCGCTTGCTCAGCGGCTTTCGGTGGCCGTGCCTTCACTTTTGCATCCAACACACGCGCCGTTTCTTTTTTTCTTTTTTTTTTCTTTTTTTTTTTTTTTCTTTTTTTTTTTTTCTTCTCTCCAAGCACGCCTCCTTTCGGACCCCTGTTGCCTGCCCGCACCATTTGCACACCACTCGCGCGTCTGGCGGCTCCGGCCCACTTCAAAGCATTGTCACCTCGCCTTTGTTATGTAAAAGCAAATGCGCGTCGCTGCCCACCTCACACGCTCAAATCACATGTTCTCAGGGTGGCGAAACGCCCCTCGATGTCGGACGTCATCGCGGGCATGGCGACAAGCTGGAGCCCGTGTTT